AACCTAAAATTAACCTACAGAGCTTTAAAAGTACTCCAGATAGCCTAAAACAGCATCTAACAGCATTAGAGAGAAAACGGTCGTTGGGTGCCCCTGGTGTGTTTTTATTAAAATCCACAAATACACAGTTAGTTCACCAGTTCGAAGCCTCAACAGTCTTCTTCGCGTCGTTGTAGAACGTAGGTTTAGTTTACTATTCGTTTAGACAAGTCAAGTCTCTATTTCAAAACGCGATGCGTTTAATTTACAGTGTAATTTCGACACCTATAGTTTCGTCTGGGACTCGCGTCGGAGGATCGTTTGCGCTCGAAATAGTCAGATGGCTCCCAGCTTATCCCAAATTCCTGTCTTATGCAGTACCTTGACAATTTCAAGCTCTCCACTAGAGATAGAGAAGAATATACAGGCCATGAAAATCTCTAGGTTTTACAGTAGCGGCGAACCCGAGATCGAAGAAATCCTCAATGGCTCCCCAGCGTTAACTTCGCACAGATCAGCCCACTTCTTTGGTCTTTTTCTGGCAGAGTTTCATCGAGATAGAGGTATTGAATGAAGAGGAATACTCTATTCTACGCATCCTGTATTGCTAAAGCCTCCAACAACATATCTTCCTTGCATTCTGCAACGATTTTGACACACACTATCGCATGTTCGCATACATTCTTCTCTGAAACAAAATATTGTTATTCCCGAAGTGACGTCAAAGGCCAACTCGTCCCATTCTCCGCTATTCCTCGGTCGTGAACATGGAAAAGGGCAAATTTGTAAACTTTAAAAATTCATAGAAAATTAACGAAAATGGCTAAAACGATAATTTTTTCGCAGTGGTGATCAGGAGAAAAAGGAAATTTATATTAGCCGAAAAAAAATTTTGGGGTTAGTGGCACTTTCACGGGGATCGGTCTTAAATCAGAATTTCCATACTTTTACCTAATCGCATCTTTTTGGTACGCTGCGGCGGCATATAAGGTGAATTTGGTCGAGCCATGTTCCGTATTTTGGCGAGACATGGTCTAGCCAAAATACCCAATATGCCGCCGAAGCGGACCAAAAAAGGTACGATCAAATTTACCGTTCCTAAATTCGGCCAAAATTCGGGAGATATTCTTCTACTTACGGTTACCAGGCTATAACCAGTTATGTGGTGCGTGCGATGAAGAGACTGGTACGACTCAACAACCAGTGGAAAAACTGGTGAAGGAAATAAGTTTTGAACAGTTTATAACGACTTCAGTGATAAATGTGGTGGCAAAAGTTGTGTAAAACCCTTCTGTACAAAACTGTTATCAGTAAATTACAGTGTGGGTCGAAAAATAATTATTGTCCAAGTATTGGCCCGAAGAACGGGCACATTTTGACCCAACTTTTACAAAATTGCGCGCTTAATTCACTCACGGAGAAATAACTTAGCTTGAAAGTGACCAAGTTATCGCAGCCATATCATCTTAGTGACTTGATATCGCAGAATATCAGGACGGTAGACACGGCTTCTTGGCTAATTGCGATTTGGTACGGTAAATTATTTGAGTCATCTGGTTATTATTGGTTTATAGACTCCATTCTAGGTCGGAAATCAAATCGTGCCATATAATCGAAATAATTTGATTTAATTTTTATAGACTCTGTTCGTTGGCCTGCTGGAACATACGGCTTACCCAAACCTGTATCTGGGTGTCCTATAGCTGATGGCTTTCAATGGGAGGAAGGATGGAGATCCCAGGATTTACATGGTACACATTCAAATAACACGAAATCCACTGAATTTCATCTTGATGGAAAAGTTGATTACGAGAAAGTAAACAGATCGTTCTGTATTAGAAGTACAGCTGACATGAAAAAGAGGCCCAACTGGCCACCAGGTTGGTAAAAGACTGTCTTAGGGAAAGAAGTGTTTAATGATAGAGCGGTTTTTCAATTGAGTAATCATTGCAGCCATTTACAAAAGATAATAACAATATCTTTGGTAATTATACGTAGATGACGCAAAGCGCGGGAAAACGTGTGCGTACGACACTCAAATGGAAACCGCTCTAGTCTTTTTAGTGATAAATACAAGATTGTTAAAGCTAGTAAACACTGATGTAAGCAATAGTAAAAATCAGCAAACAACTGCATAAATTTTGTATCTTCTGATTCAAGGGTAACACCTTTAATTAGTAAGTTATGCGAATACCTGTTGGTAGCCGTAGTACCATAAACAGCGTTGATATTGTATTCAGTATACGTAGCTGCAGCTGGTAAGTAGTGTCCATATTGTATTGTAAGTAACTGTAGCATTGTTAGTAGTGCAAGTGACCGCAGTACCACAAAAAAAAAACAAACAAACAAATAAAAAAAGTAGACCAAAATCAAAACAAAAAGTAGCCATCTAACCATTGATAAACATTTAATACTCTCTGCAGGTCAGTACTGTATATATAAAAGGAGAGCATGCCCGAAAGATTTGACAGGAGGAGGTGTCTACTGGGATGACGACAACTCAAAAAATGCAAACAGTAAAGGCGGGGTTCTCCCTGGTGGTAAATATAACAACAACACTTGGATCTATTTTTGCTGTAAAACAGACGGAAACAAAGCCAGTGCTGTACTCCTTCCTTCTCAATCTCCATTTTACCTACTGGCTTACAAGTCAGCGAAATGTCAGATGGTCATGTGGACGGTAGCAAATCTGGAGTGGATACATTATGACACAGCACACTCCGACAACAATGACAAAGGCTACTCAGCCTTTCCCCACGATGCTGGAAAACAACACCCCACGATTTACTACTGTTACTACCGCGGTAAGAGAAAACATTTACTTCAACTGGTTACATCGTTTATTCCTTCGATTAGGTAACTGATATCGAGTAATTAGAGAGAATAATGTTTCCATACAGGTCATTGCTGGTTATTTTTTGTCTAGTTCTGCGTCGAGATAGCTAGTTGACAAGATTTGCTCCGGTCCGTCACTTAGAGAGTTCCCCACAATATTCAATTCTTGGTAGGAGGCGATCATACTTTAAACCAGCTTTAATCGTTTTAACTTGCCACTTTATCTCAATTTTGTGCAGGGTGTGAAGTAACCCTTACCGCAATCAGCGGCACTTTCCAGTCACCAAACAACTCAGATGCACAGTACTGCTCCTGGACGATCACGGTTAACAAAGTCCAACAAATCCACTTGACGTTTAAGTACTTTAGTGAACAGAACGAAAACGGGTTCGATGAGCTACAAGTGTATGATGGAGAGAACGCAACAGGGGTGATCTTGGGAGTGTTTAACGGCAGTCATCCTCCCCCTAAAGATGGAATTTACTCCTCGTCAAATCGAATTTTTGTTATTTTTAAATCAGATAAGAATAGCTCTTACACTGGTTTTAAAGCTGCATATTATGGTTCTAATTTCTCGGGTAAGTCTTGTTTAATAACTTTTGTGGTCTTGCATAAGTAGAAACGCTGCATACAGTCCGGGTGATATTGTTTTTTCAAAGTTTCTTGTCAGATTCTAATAAAATCATGAGTATAACTTAGTAAACATGTATTGCCCTTTTTTTTTTTTCTCCTACTATAGCGCCCTACGTTACGACAACACAAAGCCCGGAGATGACAACATCACCTTCAGGTACTCCTAAAACAATTCCTACGGTGAAAGAAACGACATCTATTAGAGAGCCAAGACCAACAAGGGAAGGTGGAAGAAAACATCAAAGTGGACAAACTGGGGAAAAAGGTTTCGTACAAAAATAGGGAGCTTAAGCTCCGTTGATGGCAACGCCGAGGACGACGCCTGTTCAAAAATGAATTTATAGTTTACCAGCGCAATTCGCAACTATCTAGAATTGTTCAGTACACCTATGGCTCTACAAACGTGCTCAGGCTAAATATGCAATGTCAGCGTTCAATTGCAAATGGAAATACGAAAAATTAGCCGTTGTCGCTCGCGTTCCTTGGACTACGCATAACTTGGTTATTTCACGTTCCCGTTTTGCGGAGGACGGCAAAGAAATGTACAAAGATTTACAACGCACGTGCGCAGCGCCATTGTTTTGCTCATTACACCTTTTGTTTGGTTACGTTCTCGTTGCCGTCGTCGTCGTGGTTTGCTTAAGTTCCGTAATATTACTTTTACAGCCTTATGAACTATGCAATAACTGAAGATATTGGTCAAATACAATTCATTGCTAGACAGTCAAACCACAATCTGTCGATCTAACAATTGCTTTTCAATCCGGGTAAACCTGACGTTTCCATTTATATGAAGCTGAACTTCTTTTAGACTAATTATTACTCTTGTCAGTTAGTATATATTACTGGTATCACGCTATTTGTCAAGCCAAGTATCACGTCACGTTCCCTGCATAATGTCGAGCCTGGTGAACAATTCTTTTAAATTTACTCTCTTGCAGGTTTTAATGTCGTAGCTGTTGTCGTCCCCATAGTATCCATTTTCATTTTAACTGTCCTACTTGTAACTGGATTTTTCTGCTGGAGAAGGTATAAAGAGGATGTATGATATACAGATGCTTCAGAACAGTCAATTTTTGAAGATAAGCAAATGACTGGCGTTTTTAACTGGCGCCAATCTTACATATCATAAGGACGTTCCAGGAATGCTCGTGTATGGTCGTTACGTCCTATTATAGGGTGCTTTTTTTGGGGGGTGATCTGGATCAGGATCAGTGGCCCAAGATCACTCGGATCATGTTGCATCAAAGGAACCGATGAATCCACTCTGGTCACGCATTCATCAGTTCCTTTGATAAACCATGATCCGGGTGATCTTGGATCACTGATCCTGATCAAGATCACCCCAAAGGAACACACCCATAGCATAATAGACAAATCGGGATACGATCTTATCGGCTACGTAATAGGCGACCATGGCTTATCATAACGTTTTATCGGGAAAATCCATCTTAGGATATCTATGTACTTTAAAAATATAGTGCAGGTCTCCACCTTAGTTTTTGGAAATTTTTTTTTCAATATTATGTCTGTTTTCTCTGTTGGACTCAAAAAGTGTAAATTGAGCTTATCGATTAAATAATCTTGAGTGACTGCTTGACACCCTTTTAATATCATTTGTTTGACTGTTTTTTTCTCCTGCCAGGAGGACGATGAAAATTGAAACAAATACTGTACTTTTTTCAGCAAGGTACTTAAAAACGTAGTTGCTTTTAGAATCCTGTCTTAAGGGATACAAGACCAAAAATAGTTGATGAACTTGAACTAACAATAATTATAATGCATGATACGCGACAGCCTTTGCTGAAAACTATATCTTTTAAGCGAATAAAAAATAAACCGTAGCTAAATACGAATAACACTAGCACTTTTATGTGAAGTATCAAAATGTGCTGTTAACTTTATCCTAGTTCAGTGCATATTCATTTTTCATGGAAAACTTTGTACCTTAGGGCCTCGAATTGGCTCGAAAGTGTAGAAAAAAATAGCTGCTTTGTGCTCGACGAAGCTTTTCCGTATACTAAACGTCAAAGTTAACAGTGTCAGGATTTGATGTTATAGGTACAAGAAGTTTTTTGGGCCGGTCAAGAGTTTTGATACAATCTGTCCAAAATTCCCTTTGAACGGTGAAATCATTTTTCCATGAATTGTAAAACAACTCTTAACAAAAATAAGTTTGACCCAATTGATTTTTGACATTACACAACAATATCTCTTTGTCCTCCAGTCTTCTATTGTGTAAAAAAAGTAGACAACTAATTTTCTTTTTATTGATAAATTGCTTCACTCACTGGATTTTTAGGTAAAGGAATAGAGATCGTTCACATAACTCTACTCCACATGCTAATGACCTATGGCAGCAGGAAGAATGTACTAAATATGTCAATTTGACAAAAATGCACGTAATGTACCCATGTTGCTGCGAATTCTAATTGATGGTTCATTTCAGCCCGTGGTTGTAGAGTTACAAGTCGTAATTTTCAGTGATTAAACTGATTAGATGACATCTAAACATGAGAGTCAACAAAAATCAAGTTTTAGGCTTAAATTCGTATATAACGCCTGTCGTAATAAAGAGTTGTACAAATTTATAAAGAGATGTAACATAACACGCGAACATGACTATCGTTTATGTTTCTATTTGGAATTCGCAGCAATATTTGACCAGCTAATCTAAGGTATTTCACGTGCGTTTTTGCCAACTTTGCATATTTAGTAGGTGTTTTCCTACTATAGTAGTAATTAGCATACAAAGTACAGTTATGCGAAAGATTTCTAATAACATGTCGCCGTCCTGTGACACTTATTCTATTATTTTGTTGTTGATTTTTTTTAGGTCAAGCGATCAGCGCCCAGTCTCAGTTGAAAATCCTTACTACGGCCGGTGAGAATCACGATATAAATAGTCAACTAGTTAACTTACCGTCCTACATAAGCTAACGGTCAACTCTAGCCTACCTCAGTCTTCTGATTGACAGGCCGTATAGTGTGTAATTCTATGAAGACATGATTGAACATCGCAGTTATACACACAACTTAAGCAGTTATAAAATTACATGTAAAGCCCGAAAAGAAATTCAGGTTTGAACGGGATTCGAACCCATGACCTCTTCGACACCGGTGCAGTGCTCTACAAACTGAGCTATCAAACCAACTGGAAGCTGGTCATGTTGTGAGTCGTAATATACCTGTAGATGGTGAAGATACAAGTGAGTACATGAAAGATCATATTTTTGAGCTGCGGAGTTCAAATATTTGATCTTTCAAAGATTCACTTGTAGGGTGTAATGCTTTTGTACATTTTATCTCGCCATGCATACCTTGTGCAGTAAGTTGTGTATTTTTTTTGTTTTATCTGTACAGTGATGTCATAATTGCAAACACAAACGAGCTGTACACTGAGCCTGTTATTGGACACGCAAGAAAGAATGAAGCGCAACATTACAAGGATCTAGTCAAAAAAGATCAAGATTCACTCTACGATACTGCGGCCGATGGTGTTGCGTTGAACCCCGTCTATGACAGGTTTAATTTTTTGAAACAAAACCTATTCAAAAAATGATACATAGTTAAATAATAGATTATGATTGCTTTGTCTTTGGCTCTAGTTGTCAATATAATGTTCATAAAAACTGTTACATGTAAAAATTTGTTGCGAATTTTTTGTCTTCCCCCGCGCAAGCATGCTCTAATACTGTCACATTAACGCGGTATTTTCTAACTGACCCAATTAAACGTATTTGTTAATTTAGAATTAAGGATAGCGCTCTGAGGTCTGAAACACCTCACCTATTTTCCGGGAGGAGAAACGGTAGCCAAATGGTAGACGCGTGGGAAGAGGGATGGGCCCCAAGCCGAGGCCACTGGGTTGTGTTCTTGGGCAAGACACTTTACTCTGTATTTTCTCTCTACCAAGGTGGAAAACCTGACGTCAGGGACCTTAATCCTGGTGTAATCCAGTCCGCGGGACAGGACAAATATTTTTGGTCGATTCATGCCATGGAAGCCGGAGTATATGTTCTGTGAACATTTTTTGCCGTGAACAGTTTTTGTAACTTGTACTATTTGCAGATTCTTACTTGGATTAATGTACTCTGATGTTCAGCTTTAAATTTAAAGGGTTTTTTTGCTTGTATTGTAGTGATTTGGTTATCGCAAACACAAACGGGTCATGTTTCTCCCAAGACGATTTGTACACTGAGCCGGTCACAGACGACCAAAAAAGGAATCTTCGGGCACATTACATGGGGCTAGTCAAAGGGAATCAAGATTCATTGCACCAGAGTGCGGCGGCTAGGTCTTCGATAAACCCCGTTTATGAAAGGTTTGATTTTCACGAACAAAAGCGTTTTAATAGTTAGATTTATGGGCTACATTATGAAATTATCATTATATTGGTTTGGTGTGGTTTGGCTTCGTTTCCTCGGACTGTCTCTACGGTGTCCTATTGAAATATCACGATATTGTGAGACGTTTTTCTGACATGGGCTTAAATTGAAGGAAAATTTAAAATAACAATTCCTAAAGGTAGGAAAACCTAAAAGGAGTAATAATCAACATATAGGTACAAATGAGGAAAATTAAGACGGATTATGAACAACAACTTCCAGTGTGAAGCCTGGTAAAATTTGCTTTACAATGTGCCATCTGTGATCAAGGTCCTTTAAAAATGGTACACAATATCTTGTACCTACATCCTTTTTCTTGCCAACTACTTGCAGTTATTTTCATACATTTTTTGAGAAATTTGCGTATTTCTTTAGCTCCGACTACAGGAATGCAGAGGCGGAACCGCCTTTATATATGGAATTAGAGAAAGAAACTCCCTTAGGGGAAGACGCTGCTGCCGATGCTGTGTTAAACCCCATATATAACAGGTTCGTTTGCCTCTTTTTAGTGAACTTTGAGCTATTTTATTTTAATCGACTTCTCTCCTCTCTCGGCGGGGACTTACAATTTTTTCTTTGTCCCATACTCTTCACCAAGTGAATAAAATTTACTTATTTGAGTTGGACTAAGTTTAATGTCAATCACCTTTGCATTTATTTATAACTATACTCGACGCTTTCGTGTTTCGTGTTATCAACCTTAGCAGTAGATAAAAATAAATAAATAAATAAACAAATAAATACGGTAATTGACCATTCCGACTTTTTAAGGCTTATGGAAACAAAAAATGAAACAAATAATGTAAATGAAGATAACTTTGTCAAAAATTCCAGCTCTATAATTCTTTATGCAGAACTTAGAAACATCAAGTAATTACTGTTACCATTACTCCCGTCAATATCCTTTTGTTATTTAGTTTCATTCCACATTTCTATAGAGCTATATTCAAATTCTCTCTTGCCTTTAATTGCCTCTTGCAATGTATTTAATGGTTTCAAATAAGCTTTATAAATGCATGTTTGCCTGTTGTTTGCAGCTCCACGTGAAGGAAGAACGATGAAGGTTCCTTGAGAGAGGGAAGGCTATTTTCAGACAGCATTGCACTCCGTTAGACCCGCATTTATAGTTAGAGTTTACTATATCAGTGTGAAGTTAAACAGTTTTATTATGTTAGTAGAAAATTCAACTCACCAGGTTTTAGAGATATTTTCTAATTAATTTATAATGCTAGACATCATAGGCAGGATATTATTGCATAAAGGAAGGATGATTTTTCCGTCTTTTTTGACAAACTTGTTTCACTTTTATCAACATATAGTTATTGTCGAAAGGATGGGTCATTCCGTATAGAGTGAGGAGTACAAAGTACAATGAACGTCCGCCCTATCCCATGAGTATCTAAATTTGTAGATAAATCCAAAAATATTTTAAAATATTAGCTCATCCATACTGTGTAAGCAACTACAGTCAAGAGCGTAGGACAAAGAAGAATAATAACACTACGAAAGCACGTATTTTTGATAATTTCCGTTTTCTTCATTATAATTTTTAAGATGCATTGTCACGTTAGTGAATATTTGCCATTGAATGTTTAATGGTTGCAAAAATAGCCTTCGGTAGGAATAGAAAGGCTGAAGAATAAGAACTTTTTTTAAAAATAACCTTTCTCTCTTCTTACAATATAGACATGAAGCATGAGATCATAGTCCATTGCATAAAGCAAGCCCTTTAGAAATTAAAATCAGGTGATATCATGCTTTCCATAATCCAAATCCAAACAAACTAAAGACAACCCCTACGACTCCCCCCAAATATCCTTTCCTTCGCTACTTCATCCTTCCCATCACTTAAACCAGTTTCCCTGTGTCACTGAGACTCTTTCGAAATATCATTTAAGAAGCCTGCACTCTGTGCGCTTACCCCCGACCCCTTTGATGATGTCCTCATTTTTCCAGACGTTGTAATTTTCGTTCAGCACCTGGAAATAACTTAATACTCTAGCTTCCTCCTATGCAGTTAAAGCTGCAATAGAAAGCGAACCTGTCTACCGCTACAACACACTATTGAAAACATTCTGCTCTAGTAACTTATAGTTCTAGTTCTCTCCGGGTAAACTTGTCTAATCACAATTGAGAGGCGTTTGCTCATTACATAGTTTCATGTCTCTTGTATATTGCTTACTATATTTCAGAAGTAACTGNTCTTGCAGGTTTTAATGTCGTAGCTGTTGTCGTCCCCATAGTATCCATTTTCATTTTAACTGTCCTACTTGTAACTGGATTTTTCTGCTGGAGAAGGTATAAAGAGGATGTATGATATACAGATGCTTCAGAACAGTCAATTTTTGAAGATAAGCAAATGACTGGCGTTTTTAACTGGCGCCAATCTTACATATCATAAGGACGTTCCAGGAATGCTCGTGTATGGTCGTTACGTCCTATTATAGGGTGCTTTTTTTGGGGGGTGATCTGGATCAGGATCAGTGGCCCAAGATCACTCGGATCATGTTGCATCAAAGGAACCGATGAATCCACTCTGGTCACGCATTCATCAGTTCCTTTGATAAACCATGATCCGGGTGATCTTGGATCACTGATCCTGATCAAGATCACCCCAAAGGAACACACCCATAGCATAATAGACAAATCGGGATACGATCTTATCGGCTACGTAATAGGCGACCATGGCTTATCATAACGTTTTATCGGGAAAATCCATCTTAGGATATCTATGTACTTTAAAAATATAGTGCAGGTCTCCACCTTAGTTTTTGGAAATTTTTTTTTCAATATTATGTCTGTTTTCTCTGTTGGACTCAAAAAGTGTAAATTGAGCTTATCGATTAAATAATCTTGAGTGACTGCTTGACACCCTTTTAATATCATTTGTTTGACTGTTTTTTTCTCCTGCCAGGAGGACGATGAAAATTGAAACAAATACTGTACTTTTTTCAGCAAGGTACTTAAAAACGTAGTTGCTTTTAGAATCCTGTCTTAAGGGATACAAGACCAAAAATAGTTGATGAACTTGAACTAACAATAATTATAATGCATGATACGCGACAGCCTTTGCTGAAAACTATATCTTTTAAGCGAATAAAAAATAAACCGTAGCTAAATACGAATAACACTAGCACTTTTATGTGAAGTATCAAAATGTGCTGTTAACTTTATCCTAGTTCAGTGCATATTCATTTTTCATGGAAAACTTTGTACCTTAGGGCCTCGAATTGGCTCGAAAGTGTAGAAAAAAATAGCTGCTTTGTGCTCGACGAAGCTTTTCCGTATACTAAACGTCAAAGTTAACAGTGTCAGGATTTGATGTTATAGGTACAAGAAGTTTTTTGGGCCGGTCAAGAGTTTTGATACAATCTGTCCAAAATTCCCTTTGAACGGTGAAATCATTTTTCCATGAATTGTAAAACAACTCTTAACAAAAATAAGTTTGACCCAATTGATTTTTGACATTACACAACAATATCTCTTTGTCCTCCAGTCTTCTATTGTGTAAAAAAAGTAGACAACTAATTTTCTTTTTATTGATAAATTGCTTCACTCACTGGATTTTTAGGTAAAGGAATAGAGATCGTTCACATAACTCTACTCCACATGCTAATGACCTATGGCAGCAGGAAGAATGTACTAAATATGTCAATTTGACAAAAATGCACGTAATGTACCCATGTTGCTGCGAATTCTAATTGATGGTTCATTTCAGCCCGTGGTTGTAGAGTTACAAGTCGTAATTTTCAGTGATTAAACTGATTAGATGACATCTAAACATGAGAGTCAACAAAAATCAAGTTTTAGGCTTAAATTCGTATATAACGCCTGTCGTAATAAAGAGTTGTACAAATTTATAAAGAGATGTAACATAACACGCGAACATGACTATCGTTTATGTTTCTATTTGGAATTCGCAGCAATATTTGACCAGCTAATCTAAGGTATTTCACGTGCGTTTTTGCCAACTTTGCATATTTAGTAGGTGTTTTCCTACTATAGTAGTAATTAGCATACAAAGTACAGTTATGCGAAAGATTTCTAATAACATGTCGCCGTCCTGTGACACTTATTCTATTATTTTGTTGTTGATTTTTTTTAGGTCAAGCGATCAGCGCCCAGTCTCAGTTGAAAATCCTTACTACGGCCGGTGAGAATCACGATATAAATAGTCAACTAGTTAACTTACCGTCCTACATAAGCTAACGGTCAACTCTAGCCTACCTCAGTCTTCTGATTGACAGGCCGTATAGTGTGTAATTCTATGAAGACATGATTGAACATCGCAGTTATACACACAACTTAAGCAGTTATAAAATTACATGTAAAGCCCGAAAAGAAATTCAGGTTTGAACGGGATTCGAACCCATGACCTCTTCGACACCGGTGCAGTGCTCTACAAACTGAGCTATCAAACCAACTGGAAGCTGGTCATGTTGTGAGTCGTAATATACCTGTAGATGGTGAAGATACAAGTGAGTACATGAAAGATCATATTTTTGAGCTGCGGAGTTCAAATATTTGATCTTTCAAAGATTCACTTGTAGGGTGTAATGCTTTTGTACATTTTATCTCGCCATGCATACCTTGTGCAGTAAGTTGTGTATTTTTTTTGTTTTATCTGTACAGTGATGTCATAATTGCAAACACAAACGAGCTGTACACTGAGCCTGTTATTGGACACGCAAGAAAGAATGAAGCGCAACATTACAAGGATCTAGTCAAAAAAGATCAAGATTCACTCTACGATACTGCGGCCGATGGTGTTGCGTTGAACCCCGTCTATGACAGGTTTAATTTTTTGAAACAAAACCTATTCAAAAAATGATACATAGTTAAATAATAGATTATGATTGCTTTGTCTTTGGCTCTAGTTGTCAATATAATGTTCATAAAAACTGTTACATGTAAAAATTTGTTGCGAATTTTTTGTCTTCCCCCGCGCAAGCATGCTCTAATACTGTCACATTAACGCGGTATTTTCTAACTGACCCAATTAAACGTATTTGTTAATTTAGAATTAAGGATAGCGCTCTGAGGTCTGAAACACCTCACCTATTTTCCGGGAGGAGAAACGGTAGCCAAATGGTAGACGCGTGGGAAGAGGGATGGGCCCCAAGCCGAGGCCACTGGGTTGTGTTCTTGGGCAAGACACTTTACTCTGTATTTTCTCTCTACCAAGGTGGAAAACCTGACGTCAGGGACCTTAATCCTGGTGTAATCCAGTCCGCGGGACAGGACAAATATTTTTGGTCGATTCATGCCATGGAAGCCGGAGTATATGTTCTGTGAACATTTTTTGCCGTGAACAGTTTTTGTAACTTGTACTATTTGCAGATTCTTACTTGGATTAATGTACTCTGATGTTCAGCTTTAAATTTAAAGGGTTTTTTTGCTTGTATTGTAGTGATTTGGTTATCGCAAACACAAACGGGTCATGTTTCTCCCAAGACGATTTGTACACTGAGCCGGTCACAGACGACCAAAAAAGGAATCTTCGGGCACATTACATGGGGCTAGTCAAAGGGAATCAAGATTCATTGCACCAGAGTGCGGCGGCTAGGTCTTCGATAAACCCCGTTTATGAAAGGTTTGATTTTCACGAACAAAAGCGTTTTAATAGTTAGATTTATGGGCTACATTATGAAATTATCATTATATTGGTTTGGTGTGGTTTGGCTTCGTTTCCTCGGACTGTCTCTACGGTGTCCTATTGAAATATCACGATATTGTGAGACGTTTTTCTGACATGGGCTTAAATTGAAGGAAAATTTAAAATAACAATTCCTAAAGGTAGGAAAACCTAAAAGGAGTAATAATCAACATATAGGTACAAATGAGGAAAATTAAGACGGATTATGAACAACAACTTCCAGTGTGAAGCCTGGTAAAATTTGCTTTACAATGTGCCATCTGTGATCAAGGTCCTTTAAAAATGGTACACAATATCTTGTACCTACATCCTTTTTCTTGCCAACTACTTGCAGTTATTTTCATACATTTTTTGAGAAATTTGCGTATTTCTTTAGCTCCGACTACAGGAATGCAGAGGCGGAACCGCCTTTATATATGGAATTAGAGAAAGAAACTCCCTTAGGGGAAGACGCTGCTGCCGATGCTGTGTTAAACCCCATATATAACAGGTTCGTTTGCCTCTTTTTAGTGAACTTTGAGCTATTTTATTTTAATCGACTTCTCTCCTCTCTCGGCGGGGACTTACAATTTTTTCTTTGTCCCATACTCTTCACCAAGTGAATAAAATTTACTTATTTGAGTTGGACTAAGTTTAATGTCAATCACCTTTGCATTTATTTATAACTATACTCGACGCTTTCGTGTTTCGTGTTATCAACCTTAGCAGTAGATAAAAATAAATAAATAAATAAACAAATAAATACGGTAATTGACCATTCCGACTTTTTAAGGCTTATGGAAACAAAAAATGAAACAAATAATGTAAATGAAGATAACTTTGTCAAAAATTCCAGCTCTATAATTCTTTATGCAGAACTTAGAAACATCAAGTAATTACTGTTACCATTACTCCCGTCAATATCCTTTTGTTATTTAGTTTCATTCCACATTTCTATAGAGCTATATTCAAATTCTCTCTTGCCTTTAATTGCCTCTTGCAATGTATTTAATGGTTTCAAATAAGCTTTATAAATGCATGTTTGCCTGTTGTTTGCAGCTCCACGTGAAGGAAGAACGATGAAGGTTCCTTGAGAGAGGGAAGGCTATTTTCAGACAGCATTGCACTCCGTTAGACCCGCATTTATAGTTAGAGTTTACTATATCAGTGTGAAGTTAAACAGTTTTATTATGTTAGTAGAAAATTCAACTCACCAGGTTTTAGAGATATTTTCTAATTAATTTATAATGCTAGACATCATAGGCAGGATATTATTGCATAAAGGAAGGATGATTTTTCCGTCTTTTTTGACAAACTTGTTTCACTTTTATCAACATATAGTTATTGTCGAAAGGATGGGTCATTCCGTATAGAGTGAGGAGTACAAAGTACAATGAACGTCCGCCCTATCCCATGAGTATCTAAATTTGTAGATAAATCCAAAAATATTTTAAAATATTAGCTCATCCATACTGTGTAAGCAACTACAGTCAAGAGCGTAGGACAAAGAAGAATAATAACACTACGAAAGCACGTATTTTTGATAATTTCCGTTTTCTTCATTATAATTTTTAAGATGCATTGTCACGTTAGTGAATATTTGCCATTGAATGTTTAATGGTTGCAAAAATAGCCTTCGGTAGGAATAGAAAGGCTGAAGAATAAGAACTTTTTTTAAAAATAACCTTTCTCTCTTCTTACAATATAGACATGAAGCATGAGATCATAGTCCATTGCATAAAGCAAGCCCTTTAGAAATTAAAATCAGGTGATATCATGCTTTCCATAATCCAAATCCAAACAAACTAAAGACAACCCCTACGACTCCCCCCAAATATCCTTTCCTTCGCTACTTCATCCTTCCCATCACTTAAACCAGTTTCCCTGTGTCACTGAGACTCTTTCGAAATATCATTTAAGAAGCCTGCACTCTGTGCGCTTACCCCCGACCCCTTTGATGATGTCCTCATTTTTCCAGACGTTGTAATTTTCGTTCAGCACCTGGAAATAACTTAATACTCTAGCTTCCTCCTATGCAGTTAAAGCTGCAATAGAAAGCGAACCTGTCTACCGCTACAACACACTATTGAAAACATTCTGCTCTAGTAACTTATAGTTCTAGTTCTCTCCGGGTAAACTTGTCTAATCACAATTGAGAGGCGTTTGCTCATTACATAGTTTCATGTCTCTTGTATATTGCTTACTATATTTCAGAAGTAACTGGCCGTTTGGCGAGCGATTTAGACTGTAAGACCATAGCATCGATCACTGTCTCTCTGTCACTCATGTGTAACGCGACACAGTCACTTAATCCGTCACATGCGCCGCATTGAACAACAGCCAAATTACTTCCCTTCGACCCTGACCCTAAGGCGATGGCTTTTGAAGACTGTGACTGTTGAAGGTTTTTCACTGAAAAGCTCTTTTTGTTTTGGGTTGAAAATCAGAAATGACTTTTACCCAAATGTCTTTTAGTTGGAAATAACTCTGTACTGCAGATATTTCCCGAAACCAAATAATTACCCTAATCAATGACTGTAAAACAGATGTCTATGATCCAGACATAAAATGATATGTGTGCGAAAATAGCCGCACAACTCTCTTCGAATTTGGTATTCGGTAAACTTTTGAAGTAAGAGGTTCCGGTGTCACGCAAAAAGCTCAGAGTTAACAGCGATTTTTTAAGTCATGAGTGTTTCAGTTCATCGAACCGAAGAGACGGGTCAATTCGATCTATCCATTGACATGGACACTCATAAGGGAATCAACAGCTGCTGCACCTCGATTGCAGACGAACCTTTAAAATCAGTGGAGCGAAAAGTAATGAGAGTTTTAATCATCCTGGCGGTCATTGTGTTCAACAGAGTCCTGTTTAATTAAATCACTTTAGCCAAAAACTCTTCAGGCCAGTGTCCACTGACGATTCATACGTCATAGGTCATCTTAGTAACAAACGAAAATGCATAATGTAACACTTATGATAGCAAGCAGAATCACAGACACATGTTGTAAACAGTGTGAAATTCCATAGCAATGAATTGCTCAAGAGCAGTCCAGCTTATTCTGTTAGCAGGTATGTTAATCGTGTTATTGCATCATGGACGCAAGTTGCACTATAGACACTGTACGTTAAAATGTATTCACGATAACGACGAACTTCATTCCATCGCGTGGTAACGTGTTTACAAATAGCATTTATAAGATGTTTAACCTTCCAATTATGTGAAATCTTTCGACTGAGAAGTCCTGTCCAGCCTTGAGCGATATTGTTTTAGTAGCCAACATTGCCTGTACTTTGGTACAAAACGCGGTGCCTCAAATTGTGGNTTGTCGAAAGGATGGGTCATTCCGTATAGAGTGAGGAGTACAAAGTACAATGAACGTCCGCCCTATCCCATGAGTATCTAAATTTGTAGATAAATCCAAAAATATTTTAAAATATTAGCTCATCCATACTGTGTAAGCAACTACAGTCAAGAGCGTAGGACAAAGAAGAATAATAACACTACGAAAGCACGTATTTTTGATAATTTCCGTTTTCTTCATTATAATTTTTAAGATGCATTGTCACGTTAGTGAATATTTGCCATTGAATGTTTAATGGTTGCAAAAATAGCCTTCGGTAGGAATAGAAAGGCTGAAGAATAAGAACTTTTTTTAAAAATAACCTTTCTCTCTTCTTACAATATAGACATGAAGCATGAGATCATAGTCCATTGCATAAAGCAAGCCCTTTAGAAATTAAAATCAGGTGATATCATGCTTTCCATAATCCAAATCCAAACAAACTAAAGACAACCCCTACGACTCCCCCCAAATATCCTTTCCTTCGCTACTTCATCCTTCCCATCACTTAAACCAGTTTCCCTGTGTCACTGAGACTCTTTCGAAATATCATTTAAGAAGCCTGCACTCTGTGCGCTTACCCCCGACCCCTTTGATGATGTCCTCATTTTTCCAGACGTTGTAATTTTCGTTCAGCACCTGGAAATAACTTAATACTCTAGCTTCCTCCTATGCAGTTAAAGCTGCAATAGAAAGCGAACCTGTCTACCGCTACAACACACTATTGAAAACATTCTGCTCTAGTAACTTATAGTTCTAGTTCTCTCCGGGTAAACTTGTCTAATCACAATTGAGAGGCGTTTGCTCATTACATAGTTTCATGTCTCTTGTATATTGCTTACTATATTTCAGAAGTAACTGGCCGTTTGGCGAGCGATTTAGACTGTAAGACCATAGCATCGATCACTGTCTCTCTGTCACTCATGTGTAACGCGACACAGTCACTTAATCCGTCACATGCGCCGCATTGAACAACAGCCAAATTACTTCCCTTCGACCCTGACCCTAAGGCGATGGCTTTTGAAGACTGTGACTGTTGAAGGTTTTTCACTGAAAAGCTCTTTTTGTTTTGGGTTGAAAATCAGAAATGACTTTTACCCAAATGTCTTTTAGTTGGAAATAACTCTGTACTGCAGATATTTCCCGAAACCAAATAATTACCCTAATCAATGACTGTAAAACAGATGTCTATGATCCAGACATAAAATGATATGTGTGCGAAAATAGCCGCACAACTCTCTTCGAATTTGGTATTCGGTAAACTTTTGAAGTAAGAGGTTCCGGTGTCACGCAAAAAGCTCAGAGTTAACAGCGATTTTTTAAGTCATGAGTGTTTCAGTTCATCGAACCGAAGAGACGGGTCAATTCGATCTATCCATTGACATGGACACTCATAAGGGAATCAACAGCTGCTGCACCTCGATTGCAGACGAACCTTTAAAATCAGTGGAGCGAAAAGTAATGAGAGTTTTAATCATCCTGGCGGTCATTGTGTTCAACAGAGTCCTGTTTAATTAAATCACTTTAGCCAAAAACTCTTCAGGCCAGTGTCCACTGACGATTCATACGTCATAGGTCATCTTAGTAACAAACGAAAATGCATAATGTAACACTTATGATAGCAAGCAGAATCACAGACACATGTTGTAAACAGTGTGAAATTCCATAGCAATGAATTGCTCAAGAGCAGTCCAGCTTATTCTGTTAGCAGGTATGTTAATCGTGTTATTGCATCATGGACGCAAGTTGCACTATAGACACTGTACGTTAAAATGTATTCACGATAACGACGAACTTCATTCCATCGCGTGGTAACGTGTTTACAAATAGCATTTATAAGATGTTTAACCTTCCAATTATGTGAAATCTTTCGACTGAGAAGTCCTGTCCAGCCTTGAGCGATATTGTTTTAGTAGCCAACATTGCCTGTACTTTGGTACAAAACGCGGTGCCTCAAATTGTGGAATTGTTCACCCGGGGTTGTTCAACGACGAAACTGCAGATCGCTCTCATGCACAGATTTTAGCGGCGTGCAGCTTTCTTTTCCTTGGCAACGCAGAGCTTCAAAATCGCGCCATAGTTTGTTTAGTTAAGGAAAGACATTACGTTATTTTCCCTCGTTCTGAATACAGTAGTCCTTAGAGCGATCATTTAACATTGTGCCCTATAAGTTAAAAAGTGCGAGTACAAAGGGCCATTAGCAAACTATTAATGCGGCGTAATTGTGGTAGTGCATGTAGGACAAAGCAGACAAAATGATTCAATTGTCTGTTCACGCACAAGTTCTATTTTGCCGAACCCAGCAGGCTCTATTCGACCTTTTACTTTTTACATGGAAACCTTCTGTGGAATTGTTTTGGCATGTCAGTGGAAAGGAAGTGATTTCTCTTTAGCTTCGCTGCTGATGCATAACGCTTCGCGATGGCCGCTCAAGCTGACGCTCTGATCACTCTGATATGTTTTTCTTGCAATCTACTCACATGTAAATCACGTTAATTAAACAAGGCGAAGGCAGACTAGAATGACAGATTACTCATCCGTGTTCCGCTTTGAAAGCAACTGACTGCGTGACATAGTCTGAAATAATCAAAGCGTTTATTCACGTAAACTGAAAGAAACCCGAATAAATCTCAACTTTCCTGGAACCTACTTTTTCATATTCTTGGGGGAGCCTGAGCTGATGTATCCAGGATCATGTAATCCCCGAAATTAGATAGATTTCCGCCCCCGTCAAAATATGAATACGCCAGGAATCTGTCACACAATGGAAGGCGCTACGTAACTTTCTAAGGGAACTCTGATTTTAAACATAACTTTTGAATTTTATAGGAATCATTTTGTTAAAGACGTGGGCGAAGGATGCAGGTAAAACAAATACTTTTGTTGTTGGTGTTGTTGTTGTTTTTGTGTGTTTAACTACTTAAGAAGTTCATACTGCAACGTAACTGTCACCGGCGGTAATTTTGTTTTTACTCCTGAATGGTCAAAAGACATCTTATTTTTGCGCATATTGCATTGGTGAAAGCTCGTCACACCAGGTATTTTATAACCAAACAAAAAGAGCTTTGGTTTCAAAAGTGATTCGAACACTCTAATAATTTTCTTTATGTTTTAGTTCGTTTGGTTGGAGGCCCCTCGGCTGGAGAGGGCCGAGTTGAAGTGTATTATTCCGAAGCCTGGGGTTTAGTGTGCGGTGAAAACTGGGATATGGTGGATGCCAGTGTTGTTTGCCAAATGCTAGGCTATGGTGGAGCCTCAGCACATTTACAGAATATCACCCTGGAACAGGAAAATGACACGAAGTGGCTGAGTGACGTGCAGTGTATTGGAAACGAGAGTTCCCTTGCTCAGTGTGCTCACACTGGGTGGGGAAAACACAGCTGCAACATAAGTCAGGCCGCGGGTGTCACGTGCTTTGAACGACGCTGGGGTGAGTTTGTTTTATTGTCTATAGCAAGAGAGGATGAGCTTGTTCATTTTGTCTTGCGGATAATTTAATTTGGTAAAAATAATTTCTTATTTTCATTGATGTGACTGCACCGAAATTGCCTCACGCTCTGCATAAATTTGCAGATTTCTCCTCTAGAGACCTTCGTAATACCTATGGGTATTGTGGAGAGTATTTATACGACCTTCGCACTTGTGATCGTCCTGGTATACGTTCATGCCCGGCAAGTTGTGTTCAGAGTTCCCTTTTTGTCCCACCCACCTACCCTCAGCGACGGAAACCTCCATCCCGCTATACTTCTTCCTTATTTTAGTATCTCCGTGTGTACCATAGAGGTGCAGCATGGCAATGAAAATTATTCTACTAGTGCCAAGAATTTAAACTTAGTTGGCATAACTAACAATTATCCCGCAATATCGTGAGGAATGCTAGCTTATACTTCATAGGATAGTCTGAAAAACTGAGAACTGAAAATTACCTATTCAGGGCAGTCAACCATAGCGCATTTTAATGCTAGATTAGCGTTTTGCAAAACGAATCTTGAAGTCTTGTATTAGTGACATATAACTAGGACAATTGGCCATAAATTAGTATCTTAATTGAATAATACCATGTAATATCCAGAAGTTATTAAATGAATATATTCGCTCCATTATTGTTGTTTTAGATATCTCCTCGGCGAAACCACAGTTTATTTCAAGCACCCTAGACACCATAACCATGAAGTGTAATGTGCCTGGCGTGACGCCAGTGCAGTATACGGTACAAATATGGTCAAATGCTACTAAAACATGGCGTGACACTAGATGTAGTCATGACAATGCGAATGGTTCGTGTGTTGTAAGAACGCTTAATACAAAGGTCACTGTTACGGGTCTAGCTCCTGGGCATGCGTATTACTTCAGATTTGTTTCTCCTTCCCTGGAGTCAAGCCAGGTATCAGAGTCAATGGTAACCAAGCAACTAGGTAAGGCGCTGAGTCGAATTATTTGTGACTTATTTAGGCTGATTTTAAAACATTGGATTAAAAGCAAGGATTTGATATTTTTACCCACTACCTGTGGTGGTTCTAACCTTAATTGAAACGTCGGTAACACTATTATCAGCTCTTTAAAAATTCGTTTTAGTCAGCCCTTTAGGTCTGGTTAAATTTTAGGTTTTCTTCACTTCCAGCTTCACAAAACAGTTTGTAAACAGCCTGGTTGCCCGAGACTATTATGCAGACACAACCCTCAGAATCCCTTTACGCAAGTGACTGGGACCAGAACACGATCTTTGCTTAAGAAAAGACCCAGCACTCATTACAACAGAAATCCTGATATTTTATTTCAACCCCGTTGACCTAAAGAGCGAACGAATCACAACTGCTGTTAGAAACAAACAACAACAAACAAACAAAAGAGCGAAGAAAGAGTTCCCATGTAACTTAGTTCACTGTTTATCTTTAAGGTTATGCCACAGCACCACGTTTCGTTTCAAGTTCTAAAAGTTCTATCACAATAACCTGGGAGTCCAACACATCAGTGCCCCGCACGAACTACTCAGTAGAAATGAAATGCTGTCAGGAAACGACATGGACAGACGCGCACTGTACAGAAAATCTGTATGGCCAAGGTTGTACTGTCAGTAATAATACAGCGACTGTGATTGGTCTAAAAAAGGACAAGGCGTATTACTTTAGAGTGTACGTGGTTTATAGCAATTGGAGGAGTGTAGCGAGTGTCTCAAGTGAAGCAATGATGATAAAACCCGGTAAGTTTTGTAAGCTTTTACGAGGGTTCTATCCACAGTNTGAACACACACACACTAATAAAGAGTGAAATGCCGAGCTAAACCTACAAGTTTTTATACTTATGTAAATCTTAGAAAGTTCCAGAAGCGTCTCTGCATATATTTGGGGTGCGGGACAATGCATACTAAATTATCAAACACTCTGCATTACGACTATGCCTGAAAGGTGACAGAATGAATAGAACTACATAAGCTGATTATGTAACAGATACCTCTTAGGGTGTTCAACCTTAAAAGCTCTACAGCAGGAGCTTTTGCAGTACCTTTTAGGGTATTGAGCCGAAAAAATGCGACTGGAGGTAGTGTGTTCTTTTTAGAATTGGTACCTCTTACGGTTGAAAATCGTTCTGGGCCTTATCCAGAAAACGGGATCTTTGTACCTCTTATATAATTAGGGATTCTATTTTGAATTTCCGACGAGCACTCTGGTCCTTTTTATAGGGGAGTCTCCCCCCACCGGGACCGAGACAATTGTGCATTGTGTTAAATTGCCATAACCACATTAAAAAATTAAAACTCTTTAGTCAGTATCGGTTATTTTCCGGCGCGTTTGCGGGTTCATAGATGAGACTGTATGTCATGATTTATTTTTTCAGGTATTTTCCGTAAGGGTAAAATTTGGATCGCCTCACTTTCTTCAGATTGTGTGACGTCTCAAGTAGGTGACGTAATAACTATGTTTTGTCATGTTCCTGGTGACACACCAAATCCCCAAGTTTACAGATGGACGAAAGGGGATAGTACGATCCTTGATGACAGTAAGGATGGCGTATTAAATCTAACGATATCTTCAGCTGATGACTTTGGGTTGTACTCGTGTCACGTGATCAATTCTGAGGGTAACGCAATCTACAACATTACCATTTGCCAGAAGACATCTATTAAAGAGAAGGTCACGCAAGGTATATAACGTAAATTGTAGAAAGAATCAATTCTCACTGACTTGATTTAATTCTCAGCTAGCATGAAGCAGCTAGTTTCCCGTGTAGAAGTCTATCCTGATTCAAACTGCTATCAGAATGTTGATTCGGTAATCTAGGGTATTGATCGTCCGCTTTTGGCATTAAAGGAGCTCAGCCACGGTTTGCGCATATTGAAAAGTTTAGCCTCAATTTTTCAAATTCGTCGTTTGTAATCCGTGTCAATCTTCTCCATCCTTAGCCATCCTTGTTCCTTTATGGTTTATCATTATGTCTTTGGTGTTTTTCTATCTTATTAAACTGTTATTTTCAGGTTTCCTACCATTTAAAGGTAATTTTGTATGTGGCCAAAATAACTTAAAATAACGTGACTGAGCTCCTTTAAAGTGCATACGAGATTAAAGTTGATTCCTATTGATAAAGAGACCCAACGAGACTGAACCTTGTTGGGTTCTTTATCATTTCAGTGCCAAAGTTACCTATATAAATAATCATGCAGGGTATAACACCCTTCTTCACTTTTTCTTTAAAATCACTGGCTCATCACATTCTTTTGTTTTTCCTTTTCTTGACAGATTCCATGAACAGTATAGTTATAGCCATTATAACAACTTCTTTTATATGTTTTGGAATATTTATTGTTGTATTGATCCTCTTAAAAATGGCTCAGATCTACCGACGAAGGAAAAAGCAATCAAAGGAGGCACGACGCGAAGAGATGGCCATGCTTCATTACAGACAAAAGTCATTCAGAAGTGGAAACAACAACGAAGAAGAGCTTGATTTAAATACCTAGTCAGCGTACCCCTTCTCTGCCACACATTCTCCATTAAGGTCACAAGGGATCCCTCCTTCATGGTCAGTGCCATGAATTAGAAATCAAACCGTGACACCACGAAGTGGAAGTAGCGAATCGTCAATATGAAGTTTGAAATTAGATTCAATATGTGTACATGTAACTACTGCTTAGCTCCAGTTGGTTCGAATATACTGAATACCTCTCTGCTTCCCCTACTATCCTTCCTCTTAACACCGATTTCAACTCGCCGTTAGAACGTAAACACTTTATGTTAAAGGATCGTAAAACACAACAAAACAAGTACAACTCACACAACAACTACCAGTCATATAGTGATCGATTTGATAGTGCGCTAGCAAGTTTAGCGGAGTGTTGTTTTATCTAGTGTAGTTATCTTGTTATGATGCATGGGAAATGAAATTGATAAGATGTGAACTCATTTGTTACTAGTATTGTGATCTGAATGTGCCTTTCAATACAACGAGGCTGTTCCATGATAGAGGCGCACGAAACACAAAGCAAGAGTCTTGAGGAAAATGGCTACACCTCTTAATCTATATTTTTATTTCCAGCCCTCTGTACTTTTAGACATTTTTTATCACTAATTTCACCCTGACTGCAACTCAGACCGTGTTTCGAAACTGTTCAAGGTTTTCCTGGTATGACGATTAAGCCGGTCTAAATTCCAAGAGGACCATGTGGAGGCGTCCAATTCTCTCCATGCCCCCTGAGACTTCCCTGTTGAATTGTCGCTCGTTAAATTCCCCGAGTTGTCTGTATTTCTCGCGCTCCCCGATCTTACGAGAGAGTACACCCGGTGTGTGTGTGTGAGGGGGGGNACGCGGTTTTGGTACTTCTTAGGGTGTTCAGTCTCAAAAGGGCCACAGCGGGAGCTTTTGCGGTACCTTTCAGGGTATTGAGCTGAAAAATATGACTTTTGAGTATCTTCTTGGGGATTTTTTTCAAAATTTCGAACGAGCACCCCCGTCCGTTTTATATCAGAGTTCCTCGCCCCCGGGAGAGTGCATACTGCGCCAGGCTGGCGGACATTAAAAGACTGAGTGGTTTCGCATGTGACCCGGACGTGAGATGATTTCGACGAACCCTGACTCCTTTCAAGTTGTCTCTTGTGAGAAAACTCGATGGGAACGAGCGACATGAGAGAAGCCGAGAGAAAACGATGGCAGAAAGTAGTTTTTGGTGTTTAACTGTCAAAGTTTCGGTTGCCACTTGTTTTATCTGAACATGAATCCCCGACGTTTAATGAATGATTAATATTTTCCAGCTTAGTTAGTCCGAGGATTTGCTGGCGCGAGATGGCAGAAAGAAAGGTCACTTTCTGAGAGGAATTTGAGCGAGGGGGGCGAGGAAGGGGGGTAGGGAGATGATAAGTATTTGGGGAGAATAGAGTGTGTCGAAAATATCTGAAATTTGAAAATTAATCACACGGTGAGTTATATGCCTGTCATCTCCGCTGGCGCTTCGTTATCTTGAGACGGGCAGAGGAAGACTGGGACAGAGCAGAACTGTCAAATAATAGAACAATAAGTAGGCTTTTGTTGATATGTCAAGGTGAACGCGCAATTCATTGTCACATTTGAACCGGAAAAAGTTCTTTGAACACCGAAAAAACGCCAAAAAAATCGCTCAAACGGAAAACAGCAACAGATGACCATAGATACCAAAAATACCGAATTAAAATGACCAAAACCGTTATAGCGAAATTTCCAACGCTCCACCATCTGTGTACCCAACATAGATTGAAGTGACAATTTTAGAAGCAGGAAGTATTCTGATACGAGAGACCTCAAAAGAATGCCACTTCCTCAGCGTTTTTTTACTTTTAAAAACAGCATTATTATGATTACACTCCACTGTGGATGACGTTACCTTCATAACATTACGTCAATCATTAATGAGCCTTTCTCCAAGGTCAGGCAAATGAACATTACAGACTTTCAGTGTACGATTTTAACGGTCGCCTGGCATGCATGGGAGGACATACAAAATGATTTGGAAAACACTCGCATTGCTGGGTTTCACAGGTGAGTAAAAGACACAGGACAGAGACATCAGAAACTAAGGAATTTGACTGAACTTTGCAGTTTATGTAAGTATAACTTCACTGTGATCAAAGCAGGCGATAGCAGGACATGAGGCAGAGGCTCATTGCCTTCTCTTATAAAGGTTTATGATGCTGTTAAGATTTTGAATGTGAGGACACGACAAGGTTAACACGAATTGATAATACGTTGTCAATGTGGCGTTATTTAAACTCTCTTCAGTTAATTGAACGAGAAAGTATATTTATAATTTATGGCATATTTTCACAACACGCTCATTGTCCGTCACAACCTACATAGCTTTTTGTCTCGTAAGACGATAAGATTGGGACCATCAACACAAACAGTATGTGATCTACAAAAAATATCTAGTCATAATTTACTCCACACTGTACATTGATGTTGAACGGCGGCCGTTCATTTGCCCTCGTTTGCATTCACCCTGATATCACACTCCCTGTGCTGCAGCTGCCGTTAATCATCAATCATTTTACTCTATTCCTAAAATTTTACTTCATAGCATTTCAAGGCATTTATAACATAATGCAGTTAAACTTCGATGTTCATCGTGATGTTGATCATGGTTGACCATCAGCGAGAAAAAGTGGTTGTAATCTTTGTATGCTAGCTGTGTTCACAGCAAACTATTCTGAAAGATTCTAATCCGACCTTGATTTTTGGGTCACGCTTTAACTGCACGTAAGGTTGCTGTGACAAGGTGTTTTGCCAAATGTGTCATAAGTCACGCTTGTCACGCGAGGAGGGTAACTCGGTAGTCAAAGAAACCAATCATAGATCAAGGATTGAATACCCGCTCGTTTGCAAAAGTTTGAATTCTAATTTCTTGCCTGATATTGAATTACAGTTCTCCTACAGTGGAAACCAACCTACGGTGAATTGTTGGGTAAGTAACAGTTTGTAATCTACTATACTAAGTCTGTAGTGCCTTATTTCTATTGGTACATGCTGCTGTAAAAGTTATCTTTTCCTACCAGTTGTGGGTACCCACACTATGTAGCCACCCTCAAGGGCCCCAAATGACATAGTTACTTGTTTGCATACTTAAGTTTGTTCTTGTTGTTTTTTGTTTTCAAGATTGCACTCCGTCAATGGCCAATAGATCAGTTTGGTTGTCAAGTTTCGGTACCTCCAAAAACATTTCAAATCCGACATCATTTTCCTCAAACGAGTCAGTATTCTGTTCGTGGAAAGTTTACGTTGACAGGGGATTCCGCATTAGAATTCATTTCAATTCTTTTGATGTGAAAAACAGTTCAAACTGTTCTCAAGCTGTCGTGGAAGTAGCAGAAAAACAAGGAGTTGTCGACACAGTGCTGGGTCGGTATTGCGGTTCGATATTGCCCAATGACGTGGTCTCCACTTTCAGCTTTGTTACAGTCATATACACCGCATCCACCGGGTTTACACAAACGCATCCGGGATTTCATGCCTCTTTATCACTGGCACCAGCAGGTAATATAAGAAATTTACACCAACTAAAAGGTGGTGGTTTTTAAATTAATCACCTTAAGTCCGGGGTATCTAAAGTCTAAGTATACATGCCACTGGAATCCGATCGGTCAAAGTCTATGAACGCACAATCTGTTGGATTCTGATGATCTCTGCTGTAAGGACCGGGGGTTGGACCACCTCTCCTACCCGTTTCTTATCATGAAGCGCGTACGTTTAAAGGTTTAAAGTAAAAAAGAAGTACAACAGTGAAGAGAACAGAACTCTGCATGACTGTTGCCGGACTGTTGCCGCTCTGTAGCCGGAACGAAGTCTCACCGAGATAAAGAGTTGTCTTTTTCATTTAGCATTCTCACGTCAGTTTAACCTCATCATTTTAATTTTGTTTCCCTATCTTAAACCTTAGATACTTAATTTCTCATTGATCCGTAAATGTCATTGACTATCTCAGTTTAGACAAGTAAAATGCATTCAGTAGATTACAGGTAATGCATGAAATGAGCACAAATATCGCACGATATTTGTCGTGGTTAAACAAGTTCTCGCAAAGCACAGTTCAGAGTCTAGTTTTCATGAAAGAAAGCAAAACGTTGAAAAGTAAATATCTTAGTGACTATGTTGGTTTCTGATAAGAAAAAAAAAAAACAACAGCGTGGGAGGTGGGGATAGTCTCATTGGTGGCAGTCACTTTGGTTGACACGCAGCGCTTCTCTCAAAGGAAACTAAGGTCACCGTGCGGCAACCAACGATAGACAGGTAACTCCTGATGTCACTAGGAGTAACAAGACTCCTAGCTACTTCGTGTCATTGGCAACAACGATTCAAATGCCACGGACAGAAACAGACCTTTTTCCCTAACCTTAGTTTTGAAGAGTCAATCAATCAATTAATCCTTTTTTATTTCTTAGCTTACACTTTACTGTTGGACTGTATTTAAGTGTATTTTTGTTTGTATTTACAGATAGATGCAGCCCTTATCATACCCTGGAAGCAAACAAGAATATCGTCTTGAGCGGCACCAGTGGCACGATTAACAGTCCGTTATTACCAACTCATAATCTGGAGTGTCGCTGGACTATCGCAGTGCCCAGCGGTCACCGCATTAAGCTTAGCTTTAGCGTTTTTCACCTTGGAGCAATTGAAGCACAGGCGGACTGTGAGAAAGTGGACCACATTAAGGTGCGAGATGGCAACAACGTAAATGACCCTAATTTTGGGACATTTTGTGGTAATGTGGCTCCTTCACCTATATACTCCGTAGGGCCTAAGATTGAGATAACGTTTGTATCGAACGAAGACAGAATTTTACAGGGATTCTCCGCCAGGTTTGAGTCAATATCGGAAGGTAAGCTTATTTAGCATTTTGGTTTTAACCATTTTCTATAAAATAGTAATACGTAAAGATAGGTAAAGATACGTCTATTTAAGGGCAAATTAAGGCCTACTAAAGGAACCATATTAGACTTCATCAGCGGTTTTATAAACAACAGATTTTAGACTAGAACTATTGTGGATTAGAACCAGCATTTTTATATTGACCGCGAGCAAACCTTTTTTTAAACCATGGACTGCGCTATTAGTTAGGAAAACAGGAAAAGGAAAACAGTTAGAAAACAGTGCCCCTTATGATGAAGGATAATAACATTGGTGGGTGGATGTCAATTAAACCCTTTTAGGTGCCACAGCTGTCATGTTTTAATACAATATTGCTTTTGATAAGGGATAACTTTGACAATTGGGAATATACTTTGGGACGTTAAAAACTACTTAAAAAGCTTTAGTAATCGCCCCTTCTTGTTTCCTGATTTTTTAAATTTTTTTATATATTAACGTGATTTGTCTCTCTGTGTGGCTTGTGTCTGTGTGTGTGCTTTTGTTCTGTATTTACCTGATCCTAAAACTATATTATTGTAAGTATAGATGGCCTGTTTTTCTAGTCCCTTATGATTATCTCAGTACTCATTTTCTCTTATTTGATTGTCTAATTTAACTTATGTGGCAACTGATTTGGTACGAATGAAGTATTTGTTGACATCCTTTTTCAAATGCATGTTTAATATTCTCTTCATTACTTAGCCCAGAAATAATGCTCGCTAAGTGTTACCACTCACCATATGTATTTGTTACATATATTTTTTGGTGGTAAGCATGTCCCATTATTCGTTACATGTCTCATATTCATCAATTTTCATGTGTGCTCGCTGACTCATGATTTCAAATGGGCGTGTCTCCCTCTTCTCCTCTCACATATACAGTGTAGTTTAGAGTATAGTGAACAGTGCATGTAATTAACATAAACCTTGTGTTTTAGGTGTATGCACTCCTGGAAACAGAATCGTTCAACTTAATCTGACCCACAATTCAACGGGTCGATTGTCGTCGCCGGACTACCCGCTCCAATACCCCTCGGTCAGTGCGTGTTATTGGCGACTGCTGGCGCCTAATGGTTTCCAAATAAAGCTTCATTTTACAACATTAAACATTAAAGGAGATTGCAAGGATGACATGAATGAAGGAGACTGGGTGCGAGTGGATGATTATTTCGTCACCGAGTTTGGTCGAGTTTCTTCCTTTTGGGGCAAATTCTGCAGGGGAGCTAGACCACCATTAATTTATTCAACGAAAAATGAACTTCAAGTGTTTTTCACTTCTAATTACACTAGCAACAGAGATTTCAAGAGTGACCAACAAGCGGATTCAAATGAGGGATTTTATGCAACGTATAAGGTTACTCCACAACAAGGTAATGAACGCATTCCATTTCTAAAAACCCTTCATAGTCAGTCATGTAAAGGTCAAGCTTTCCGATTCCCCTGTCTATTGATTTTCTTCTTTGTGTGGATGTATGAATAAAGTGCAGATGAAATAATCCAACGTAATATCAAGTTAGAAGAACGTGTATATTCTTGCGAGTGTGCACGCGTGCGTGTGTGTGCGTGATTGCGCATGTACATGTGCGTGTTTTGTTTTAACATTCAAATTTAAAAAGAAATAAGGATTTGCTTTAAGATTGTTGTGTAATTAATTATTTTGTGCTATTAATTTATGGTGCAAAGAAGAACGTTTTTGAGAGGATCAAAAGCATATGCAAAAGGCAACATAGTACGATATCAAGAAAACATAATTTACTTTTGGTAATACACTGAATACTATAGTAATTATTGCATTATAATACTATTATAAAATAGTTCAACGTTACAGCAAGAAAATTCCATGTCATTATTATAATATGACAGAAACAAAAAATAACATTAGGCAACTAGTGGAATGTATATTTATAATGTACTGACCTTGCTTTTTTTATTTTCCAATTCGTCTGCGAAACGCTCCTGAAACAAACAGAGCCAAAATAAGTTTTTGAGCTTTGTATAAAACTTCACTTATTTCCCTTAGGTTATACAAGCCGGTGTCAAACTGATGTCAGCCCAGGAAAACCCATCAAAGTGAAAGGCAATGCGGGTTCGTTAGTGAGTCCCGGATATCCAAATTCTTACCCAATCATCACTTGTACCTGGAGTATAGTCGTTCCAAATGGTTACATTGTAGAAATGAATATCAAGGATTTTGAAATGAACTGTGCTGGAGGCAGTGAACTACAAGTGGGCAAGGATCACTTTTGCGGTTCAAAGAAACCTTCCGGCCTTTTGACATCTGAGTCCGACTTGGAAATAAAGATGATCTCTAAGGTGGCGCAAAATAACCGCGGTTTTCATGCGACGTTTTCAATGACGAAGAAAGGTTTGTGATCCGACATTTTGCACATTGTTACATGAATTCCTGTTTAAATGTTTCGGTTTATGCGTGTGGGTATGGTGTAGTCTGGGTAATATATAAAAACATGAAAAATTAATAACATAAATCACACTCCTCCCGATAATAAATTTACATTCTAGGTGCGCATTTAACGATGACTAGTGTCACGATTTGGTGACAGTGACTGATTTTTTTAAATTCAATTCCGATGGATTGATACTGACGCAAATATTGCATACTTCCTCATATAGATATCTGCTCTTCGTCAGCAACATCCTTCGTACAGCCCGAGAGTACAGAGCATGCCTGCATGTTATAGATTTGGCAATATACGGCTTTATAACTCGTAAAAGTAAACCACCAAATTATATGATCAGGATATCGATTAATAAAGGATAATTGCCAATATTGGTCCACGACTTTTATCTTCTTTAAACCTGGTCGTCACTTGCTACACAAGCATAAGTATAAGCAAAAGAAGGTTATGCGCTAGTGGGGACGGCCGCGACATAATCATAAGCATAAGCCTACTTCTTACGCTTATCCTGATGTCGCTGTTATGTCCAGTGAGGACATGGTTGGCATAACCATAGTGCTCGCTGATTGGCTGAAGGTCTTTCTCTTATGCTTATGCCAACATGTTCACAATAGACATAACAGCGACCTAGGCATAAGCTTAAGCATAAGCATGAGGAGAACGCAAGGTTTTGATATTCTCATGCTTATCCTTAAGCTTATGTCGCGGCCGTCCTCACCAGCACATAAGCTTCTTTTATGCGTATTCTCCTGCTTACGTCGCTCGTGAGGACCGGGCTTTACTCGAATAATATCGTAGACGTAATGCCAGTTTGTTTACCTTTGTAGAAGTCGACGTGGCGTCCATTGTTCCTTGGATAGTTATTCCAGTTGTGGTGCTGGCGATATGTGTGACTATGATTGTCACGTGGAGAAGACAGAAAGCAGCAGGGCGTGGCCGCCGAGGATCGTCATTCAAAAGTAGTATAATTAACCGGATGAGAACCCAATCGACTGTTAGCCAAAGCAGTCACATCTAAAAGGAAACGAGATAAGAGTATTTTTGTCATAGAGTTCTACATATTTGAAATGACTCAAACCATGCAAGACGGCCATACGATGGTTATTAAAACCAAAGAATGCATTAGTTAAAGGAACATTAAGCCGGAAGGTGATGAAATAAACAAGATATATTATGTACCATTTGACGAACTAAGAAACCAATTCATGGTAACTATGGAAACAGTCCGAGCGTTCATATTGAAGCTTTCCTTTTACGATTCTGCAGACTTATTCAAAACCTTCGAAATAAATGCACGTCCTGATTAGTCAGTGAGTATATCTTATTAACCAAGCGCGAGGGCCGTATTGGGAGAATAAATCGGCCGGAGACCTTGACAGTTTGGACCGAGCAGCAAGGTCGGTACAAAAAAAAAGACCGAGGGCCGATATTTTCCCAGTACGGTCCGTTCCAAGCTTGCTTAACAAGAGATTTATTACACGACTGAAAGTACCCGAAAATCTTCAAGAGCGATATTGCGGGATCATTCGGGACAGTGCCCGGTCCAATACTTAGAAAATATTGGAGCGGCAATGGAGCTTTTTAGTTATTGGTCCACTGAACTAACCTATAGTCGTATAATAAGTGTTAATTACTGCACCGGTATATAAAGCATCAAGCCACGTATTTCTAAAAATGGAAAAGTGAAATCGTCAGAATCTATGTAATTAAGACCGGCTATCCAAACCTCGTTCTCGGTTGTGATTTTCTTTGTTTTAACTTGATGAATTATTAATAGATTGAGAAGTATACATGAACCGATTTTTTCGGAACAAAATGTGGACATTTTGAGGAGACTTATAGCATTAAAGTGTATAAATTTTACAGACATTTAATTGCACTTATGTGTAACATTTTGTGCAGGTTATTTGTGTGCATTTTACGAACATGCATTCTACTGTTCACTTTTTTCTGAGATTTTATTGAGATTATATTTGATTGGGTTATCAACTTAGGCCTGTCTCTTTTACCCCGTGTTGATTTTGCAGCAAAAATGTGAAGATTTTCCTGAGATAGAGTTCAATAAAAGGTATATATTCTACAGACATTGTCTGTTCTCTTCTCCAACATTTTGTGCATTCAATGTAACTGTTACTAAAGCCTGGTTTTCACTAGCGACGCAAGCACAAGCGCAAGCACAAACGTAAGCAATAGGGATTACCCAAGTGGAAACGAAATTCGACGCAAACAGAAGCTGCAAGCAAAATCATCCGAACCTTCCAAACTGTTTAGGTGCGAGGTAATCTTTATCCGGTATTTCATTGGCCAAACATAACCACGTGTGGTAAATATCCTTGAACTTGTGTTGCGCCTGACCAACACCCTTGTCGTAAGACTTACCGAACTACTCAAACTGTGGAAAGGCAAGGTCTTTCCAATTTAGTTTCAAAAATAACCTCTTCGTTATCCAGAATAAAGACTATGCAGGTCAAAATCAATGTCTCCTCAGTTCATTATAAACTCTTCTAAGTCGAAAACAACCCTTATTATAATTGTCAAGTTACAATTACCTAGACCAACGCTCTTTTCGTTAACCTTACCAAGCCGTTGTAACTCTAAGTAGTATTAGTGTAAGTATTGTTTGTAAGTAAGTAGGCAAGCAGGGAAACTGTACCACTGAGGTAAACTGTACCACTGAAAGTTTAGTATAGTTTAGGAGAGTAAAAAAAGTAGTGCGAGTATTAATATTGCAATTGGCGTAAGTAATCGTATTATTAGTGTTTTAAGCAGTGTGAGTGACATTAAAGAAAGGTCCAAATCAAAGTCTGCGCAGGTCAGTATAACTCCCTTATGAGTCCAAAACGACTCTCAAATACTGCCATTTAAAAACAAATGGTATAAAAGTAAATACATGATCCAGTACGCGAGTACGCATTGTGGACCTATTTTTCGAAAGAGAGGTCTGGTGACGAGTAAGTTACAAGCAATCATCACGGGTCTAATAAATAACCGTGCATAAAAATTAATATTTCTTTTTACTTGTCAACTTAGGCACGTGCAAATTTCGGAGCTGTGCGTGTATAGCTTCAAGGATTTGACGATTACAGGATATATAACAGGATTTGTCAACTCCGTATGAAAATGAGGACTGTTTTACTACCTGCTGCTTCTCTTGTTGTTCTTGCCGCAATTGAGTCTGTCGTTTTAGGTAGGTGAATACTTCAGTGGATGTGATAGACGAAGCTAGACGAAATACCAGTGCCAGTGATTTTATTTTACGCAGTGATTTTATTTCACATAAATTAAACCCCCCTCGTTCTTCAAGTTCGTCACCTTAACAAGGCAGAATCGGTGTACGAGATCAAAATTTCTTTGGGAAGATACGAAAAATGGAAATTTCTATCTGGGGTGCGTCTAGCTGAGTTGACAATTAATTTATTTGATAAAAGGTTAAAGTCGTTAACTTCTGGCGCGTAATTTTTGTTAGGTAATTTTTGTACACAACTTAAATTTACTTTTCCAGAAATTGTAAGTGTTTATAATTTATTTATCGAGTTGAAGAGCTGTCGCAATGACGTTTAACTGTTTGATAATTACAACAGACACTTTCATGCACCTTTAGGTCATCGAGAGTAAACACCGGTCGTCGAGTTCATTCAAAGTTTTTAGGTACTGGAAGGGCGTTTTAATCGAATTTGAAAGACACACATTCACTAATAAGCATACAACGTTTTGACATTTATGTCATGCACCGGCTATACACAGGTATCACAAAAAATCTGGGTTCCTTAGCAGACGAAAAGCGGTAAACCGCATTTCATCGCTTAAAGGAAATAAGCACCCATAGATAAACCAAGATCAGATCATACGAGATCACGCCACTAGTCTCTTAACTTGTCAATCATTCGTTTCCTGGTAACGCTCTGGTTTTGGAGACGACGTTACGTTATTGACTGACCTTGGTAACAAGGGTGGTCAACTCTCTCTCTTACGCAACATGAAAGCTATACGACTTATAAAGACAGAGTATCCATTATACATTGTTGCTTTCCTTCATGGAAACCATAGTTCAAGGATCATACCCTTTGCGAAAAAAAAAGTTCAGTGGCCAAACATGAACTGACAGTGCTTTGTTTACAAATGCATCAATGATATTAGTGTATTTTTACTCTTCTGAAGAACTTTCAAAATCATTGGCGACAACAGGAAAATTATGCGCAGATGTTCGATGGGTTTGTTCAACTAGAACTTGCAGGGGATGGAAATTCGGGAATAGTTAGCATAGAAATGGAGGCATAATGTGAAAGAATGTTTGAGCTACATGTATTTCAGTTCAAAATGTCCCAGAGATCACAGACTACAAAACGGGAAGATGAGATAACAAGATTGGATTACTTCGGAAACAAATATGTTGTGGCGTAAAGAATGAATAACCTTTGTAATTAACGTGCCATCGACTATGCAAGGCGGAATCCATTTTGAACTGTACGACGAGAGAAAGCATATACACTATAATCTGTTTAATCCAAGCTACAGGTTAAGCGATTTCGTTATTATTGTTTGAGGCATGTTTTCAAATAAGATTAGTATCTTAGAAAATGAACGATCTGTCAATAAAGACGCTAATTGTCTAATTATACCCAACCACAATAAAAGATTGGAGGAAATACAATCCCATACAATCCACGTATTTTTAATATACTGAAGAAGCCCGAACGGGTGAAAAGTCTTATATTAAAGTGGTCCCACTTCTCTTGCTACTATTTTTTGAGTGTAAGCGTGCCAAGGGGCATCTTGGTTGGTATTAAAGCCAATCTTAACTCAAATATGTAATTATTTTTATATACATGACAGCTACGTCTAAATGGCCTGCTGGAACATACGGGTTACCGCGCGCGCAATCTGGCTGTCCATCATCCAATCAATTTACGTGGCGCACAGGATGGCGGTACCAAGACACAGAGGATTTTTTACCGAGCAATGCTCGTTCAAGTAATTTTCACCTTGATGCAAGTGTGGACAAAAATAATCTGAAGCGATCGTTTTGTATGAAAACGGACACATCTGCTGACACATCAAGAACTATTTGGCCAAAAGGTAGGCGTGCCTATTTTAGACGCAATTTACATCGATTGGTAATGTTAATTTTCAAGATAAAATGGTGTGCAAATTCATTTGTGCAACTTAAAGCAAGATTGAGATAATTTCACGTTTAGAGCTGAGTGTAAACCTTTTAGTAGGGACAGCGATTCCTGTCACATCACAGCAAATGAACTATTGCTTTAGTGACATGAGATAACCATAGAAATGAGTTAGCCGCTATGCTGGGGTATACTGAAAGCTAGTGGTTCCTAAAGAAACTGTTGTGCTGAGAAGAAGGACAAGAGAAACACTTTGGTTTTTATCACTTTGAAGTTGAAAAAAGTAGATTAAACGTCACATCGAGTTTATGAAACTAACATTAGGGCGTTAAGGTGTACATAAGAGCAAAGTCGGTACCTCATACTGTTCCTTACATTTTGAAGACATGAGGCAAGGAGTTGAAAACAAACGGTAAACTACCAAAATAAGCACTCACTAACCCTGAGAGCTTCGATTTAATTTTTTTCCATCCGTTCGTCGTTGTCATCCCATTCGCTCATAACTAACACGTTTTTCCTTACTTGAGGAAAATACTGTATTTACAAGAAAGGTTCTTGCCCCAAGGGCCTGAAATCAGGTTACATAACATGGGACGACGAAGACTGGTTCAACAAGAATAACAAAGGTGGAGTTCTCCCGGACGGAGTCTACGACAAGAACACTAAACTCTACTACTGCTGCAAAACGGACGGTAACAAAGCAGAACCGATTGAGCTACCAACAAGCACACCTTTCTTCCTTGTGGCGTACGAATCAGCCGCATGCCAACAAGTAAAGTGGGCGCAAGCGAGCTCGGAATGGATTCGTTTTGATACTGAGGAGGACGGTGATGGGTACGGAGGAGCGTATCCTTACGGAGCTGGGCTGAATGATCACACCATTCATTACTGTTACTATACTAGTAAGTAATGAATTGCTGTACTATACCGTTCATTGTCACACAACGTTGTATCAGTTGTCACGAAAGAACGTTCCTTATTACGCTATGCCGTATTTTGTCACGTAAAAAGATAACCGCAATTTGTCATGTTAACGGTTACTCCTACTGTTTCATAATTGAAAATGAAAATAAAACGTCAATCTGATGTTTCTGAGTTAGGGCCGTCAAAAAGCGTTATAAGAATTGCATTTGATTAGCAAATCGAAAAAACAGTTGTTCTGAGTGCACCTTTTATATCGACACATGTAGTGCAGTACCGGCGCAAAAATCTATCACCCACGTATTTTATCTTCTTGTTTACTCTTGATTATGACTTTAACCAAAGAGTATATAACACAGACTTGCACTTTCTTTCCCTTAAGAAGTTTTGTAACAGCTTTCCAAACTAGCACCTCCTTGTTACTGACACAAGAATTATTGCAATAATAGCACCGTTTGCTGTTTAAAACAAATGTTTACCTCACGTTATTGTCGTTGTCGTTGTTTGTCATCTCAGGCTGCAACTACACTTTGGCCCAATCCACTGGCTCGTTCCAGTCTCCCAATTATCCAAATTCCTACCCAGCAGGCCAATATTGTTCCTGGAAGATAAAGGTTCCAGAAGGATTGCAGGTAAGTATAACATACCTTCATTGTGCACCCACTGAACATGCGTTAAGTATAGAGATATGATCGAGCTAATAGTTTTTGAACCCATTGAACTACAGGTGGTGTTAAAGTTTCCTAAGTTCTCACTCCAGAAAGGACCAGGCACTGATAATGTTCAACTGTACGACGGGAAAAACGAGACCTCGCCCTCCCTGGGCGTGTACTCAGGTGAAACGAATCCCCCACCCTCAGGAGTCCGTTCCTCATCCAACGAGTTATTTGTCATTTTCAAGACTGATAGCAAGAATAACTTTGCTGGATTCCAGGCCTCTTATTCAGCGCAGAAACCAACGCGTGAGTAGAATAGGAGATTTTACACAGCTTTGCACTTAATTTTAACAATCACGTTGTGTGCAAATTTTGCTCGTAATTGGCTACAAAGTTTCTCAGGAGCCTTGCTTTAATCGTAGTGAGAGGCAGTATGAGGATAAGCGAGTAAGTTCTCAAACGCTGCGGCACGAGCAAAGGCGAAGCTGCGAGAGGCGTCTCACCAACTCGCTTCGCTCGCCGACTTATCTTAGGCAGCTTCGCTTTTACTCTTGTCGCAATGCATTAGAGCTTGCACGCACTGCTAGGTATGACTCCGCTAAAGTTTGTTTTTAGGACGGTTAAAATCCTTTAAAATTGTCGACATAAAACTAAAATAGTTCATTTTGAGATCGACTCATGGACCGAGAGAAATTTTACAAATCCTCAGAGGATAACGTCTAAGCCACTGGGTTCGGTAGATTATATTAAAAGCGTTGCAAAGTTAAGCACTGAATCATACTTTGAGGATGACACAGACGCTTGGTCACGAGAATATGCTTTGCGTTGCTTGACACAAAAGAACTTATTTCCTCTTTAGAACCTCCAACAACTATCAAAACAACGACAATTTTTCGCACAACGAAAGCTACCACACCGTCTGCGCAAACAACGACAGTGGCAAATACACCAGCTGGAACCAAAACAACAGTTAAACCCACTGAAACAACCCAAGCCACCACCACAGTCAAAAGCTCCACAAACCAAGCACAGACAACTAACAAGGGGCAGACAACCCAAACCGCCACTACAGTCAAAAGTACTATAGAAAATGCACAGACAACCCAACCCATTACTGCTTCTACCAGCACGGCAGGAATTACGAAAAGTACTAAAAGTACGACGAAGAAAATCACAACAAAGGAAGTTGAGAGAACCACCACCAACAAAGAAACCGAAGAAAGCAGTATTTCATCAACATCAGAGGCAACAGATGGGCCCTCTAAGAAACCTGCCAATCACACAACTGTTTACTCAATGGAAACAACAATCGTCGTAAATACAAGTAAGGTTTTGTGCATGCGTGTTTATTTTAGATCATCAAATAAAAGAAACGTTGTGGCGGCCTTTTGCAACATAGCTGAGGAAGACTTGCTGAACACGATAAAGTAATATTTATATGACCAAGTCATAAGGAAGACCGTGGGGGTTTCATTCCCTCATCAGGCTGGTGCTTAACTCCGTTTTCCTTTAGTTAGTATGAGGACACTGGGATTGTCCTGGCTACGTCCGCTTTATGAGCCGCCGGGTTATCGCAGGGTACTTAGGGTGTCAGAATGCCTTGACCTTAAGCTGGTGCTCATTTATACTCCTGGGGTGACGAGAGGCACCATAAGAGTAAATGCTCAAGAAAACAACACAGCTGCACAGACCTTGCGAACACTGACCGTTCAAGTGGAATTCAACTCGCTAGTTGCCGCGTTTCCTACGTAGCCTTTATAAAAGGCGCGAGAAGAAATGTGCACGTGCTAGCGCGCACCTGACATTCGTTCTCTATTTACGACGGCACCTACGAGCTACACAGGCTAGCTAGTCAGTTCTGTATAAGGACCTATTAGTATCATGCACTTTTCTGCTGAAAAGGACTGGAAAGACCAATGGATGGCAGTGTACCTGTACGCGACGCGTGCCGAGTGAAAACTCCGCTGCCCTTAACAGGTTCTTCTATTATTGCAGAGACAGAGGCTACCAATGAACCAACACACACCAGGCCCACAGAATATAGACCCTCGACAATTGCCCCTCTAAGAAATGAGTCCTCATTTGGGTTTCGTAAAACGGAAGAAGGTGAATCATCCAATGTAGCGTTGATACTAGTTCCAGCGCTTTGTTTCCTGCTTCTGGTATTGTGTCTTTTGATGTTGTTCCTCTATCGCAAGAGGTAAGAACTAAGAATTGTAACCATTAATGATTCGATTTAGCCTCTAAACCAGTTAGCATGTCTTTTCTAGTGAGCACTCCCTGATTAAAGGAGAAGGTCACTCCGAAAAATGTACAGTCGAACCTCCCGTAAGCGGCCACTCAAAATGTGAAGAACAGGTCGTCGTTTTATACGGGAGGTGGTCACTTACGAAAGATTAGACCATATTGGGTTAAAATTTTGCCTCATTAGCATATGATGGCTGCAGAGACTTCCCCCATGTTTTAAACGTTTTATTCATGTATACAGTCAATTTCGAAAAAAAATCTGGTACAAGAAATTTCCGTCTCTCGTACTACCCAGGAATGCGATGTTGCAACTCCTTATAATCCAATTTCCGCTCTATTATCTGTTAAGTGGTGGCTTATGGGAAACAAAAAAAATTCAAACTTTTAGCTCTAAAGGTGGCCGCGGTCGTTACGAGAGGTGGTTGCTTACAAGAGGTTACAAATATAGTGAAGGGGATAATCGGCTGGACAAAATATATACATTTTGCTGGCCTTTGGTTTTGATGCCAAGTCAGTTGCAGGTTTCTATGCTTCCCGCCAATTTCGAGGTGGAAAGAATGACGTCACAAAAATATGGTCTGGCTGCCAACTACAGTTAAAGTGGCTGCCTCCAAAATCGAACTTTAGGTTTCTTTCGAGACGAATTTCTTCAGGATAGTAGGCACTTAAGAGTCTGAAACTTCGGTGAGTGGAAATACCCAATGTTTACTCGCTATAGGTGACCATAGGTGGAGACAAAAAAGTAAGCTTTTTTGGAGTGACCTTGTCCTTTAAAGTCCATTCAACTATCTTTAAGGCTTCACAAATTAGAGCTTAGGTCTGTAGAGATTGAGATTCAGTCTTGAGTGTGCAAGTTTCAAGAGTTCATTTTAATCAAGTTCAAGTTTTGTACTCAGTGGGCAATTCAAAATTGCTAAGACAAAAAGGAATAAACCCACGTCTCCAATAAACGCCTTTCCGAGATAATCGTCCTCACTTGAGCTCACAAAATTAACGCTTTGGACGGTAAGTCGAATCTGACGGTAAGTCGAACCTGAGGTGATCTTTTACTGTCTACTTTACTGCCCGAGAGTAATTTCTCCCTATGTGCTTGGGACACTACTGGTATTTTTCATAGTGGTAACATTCTCATTTGCTGGATTTAAAAACTCATCACCATTCCAATTTTATTTCATGTTAGGAATCAAAGAAGAAAAGATAAACTAGACCGCGAGCAGTTTGTCTACTATGAGAGGTATTGATAGTCCTTTGTAGACTGAGATGAGCATAAAAATTCTCCTTAGCCATTGTCATACATTTACCATAATTCTTAGTGGGAGAATTTGATGTTTTATCACACTTCTCTTCCAAGGTGATCGGGATTTAAATTCCCAAGATCTCTCTATATTTTGAACTTTTAATGACATGGCCAGTAAAGAGACGATAGAACTAGATCAATGCTACAGCTGATTTTTTAAGGCTTAAAAGGCTTAGGTTTCGTCTGTCCTCA